GCAATTCCCGGAATCAATACCTGGGAATATGGTACAAGAAAATATCTGTCAAGACTGTTGTATGGGTTGCCAACAGAGAAATCCCACTCATCAATTCATCAGGCGTCTTAACAATAATCGACCCTGGAATTCTAGCCCTCGTCAATGGTACCGGCACTGTCATTTGGTCTGTCAATGTGACAGGATCCACACAGAACCCTATTGCACATCTTATGGACTCTGGAAATCTTGTTGTGAAGGATGCCAATGATACGTCTGAGAAATTTCTGTGGCAAAGTTTTGATTATCCGTGTGATACTCAATTACCAGGCATGAAGCTTGGAAAGAACTTTGAAACAGGCCTAGAGCGCCACCTCTCCTCCTGGAAGAGCAGTGATGATCCAGCTCGAGGTGAGTTTAAATTCCAGTGTGATCCTCGAGGATATCCACAAAAAATTCTGAGCAATGGTTCTGTTGACGTGTTCCGAACTGGGCCATGGAATGATATCGGATTTGGTGGGACACCAAACGTCTTCTACACATATGGATTGGTTTACACTGTGGAGGAGGTGTATTATCATTATGAACTCCAGAGCGATGTTATCTCAAGGTTTGATGTGAGTTATGATGGCCATTTGCGGCGCTGGATATGGGTTGATCTAACCCAGAAAGGGGACATTTACCTGACTGCACCAACAGATAACTGTGATAATTATAAACTATGTGGTCCTAATGGTAGCTGTAACATTGGAAGCTCACCGGCATGTGGTTGTTTGAGTAAATTTGTTCCCCAAAACCAAGCAGAATGGGGAAATGGAGATTATTCTAATGGGTGTGTTCGGAGGACACCGTTGGATTGCCATAAGGGAGATGGGTTTCTCAAGTATTCGCGATATAAAATGCCAGACACACGGAACTCCTGGTTTGACAGGAACATGACCCTAAGGGAATGCGAGATGGAGTGCTTGAAAAACTGCTCTTGTACGGCTTACACCCGCGAGCTGACCGGGCAGCTCGATCCCCGTCATAATCAGCGAAGTGGCAATCTTGAAAGCATTATCAACACAAACTTCTCTGAAAGGCTTGATTCGAGTTGGATTCGCATCTAAACACTCAAAGTCTCACTGAAATAAAAAATGTGAATAAAATTACAACTCAAAGGAGTTTTGTCAAACGGGATTGCCAAGAAATAAAACCTAACACCTGGGAATATGGTACAAGAAAATATCTGTCAAGACTGTTGTATGGGTTGCCAACAGAGAAATCCCACTCATCAATTCATCAGGCGTCTTAACAATAATCGACCCTGGAATTCTAGTCCTCGTCAATGGTACCGGCATTGTCATTTGGTCTGTCAATGTGACAGGATCCACACAGAACCCTATTGCACATCTTATGGACTCTGGAAATCTTGTTGTGAAGGATGCCAATGATACGTCTGAGAAATTTCTGTGGCAAAGTTTTGATTATCCGTGTGATACTCAATTACCAGGCATGAAGCTTGGAAAGAACTTTGAAACAGGCCTAGAGCGCCACCTCTCCTCCTGGAAGAGCAGTGATGATCCAGCTCGAGGTGAGTTTAAATTCCAGTGTGATCCTCGAGGATATCCACAAAAAATTCTGAGCAATGGTTCTGTTGACGTGTTCCGAACTGGGCCATGGAATGATATCGGATTTGGTGGGACACCAAACGTCTTCTACACATATGGATTGGTTTACACTACGGAGGAGGTGTATTATCATTATGAACTCCAGAGCGATGTTATCTCAAGGTTTGATGTGAGTTATGATGGCCATCTGCGGCGCTGGATATGGGTTGATCTAACCCAGAAATGGGACATTTACCTGACTGCACCAACAGATAACTGTGATAATTATAAACTATGTGGTCCTAATGGTAGCTGTAACATTGGAAGCTCACCGGCATGTGGTTGTTTGAGTAAATTTGTTCCCCAAAACCAAGCAGAATGGGGAAATGGAGATTATTCTAATGGGTGTGTTCGAAGGACACCGTTGGATTGCCATAAGGGAGATGGGTTTCTCAAGTATTCGCGATATAAAATTCCAGACACACGGAACTCCTGGTTTGACAGGAACATGACCCTAAGGGAATGCGAGATGGAGTGCTTGAAAAACTGCTCTTGTACGGCTTACACAAATTTAAACATAGGAGGACATGGAAGCGGCTGCTTGCTTTGGTTTAATGAGTTGATTGATATGAGAAAGCTCATTGAAGATGGGCCAGACATTTACATAAGGATGGCTTCTTCTGAGTTAGGTAAGAAATCATACCAAACACATAAGACCAATGAACATAGATTAATTAGATTTTACTTTATAAGAACCATGTAGTCACCTATACCGAACATTTACATTTCTTCCTTAGAAAATTCCTCACTACAGTTTAGCAAAAAGTGAGTTGTTTCATCTTGAACATTGATTTCTATTGTTGGTGTGTCTTGAATTCGATCCTAATGATGCTTATTACCCGTCTCCATGCACATGCCCGACCCAGTAGGTCTGTTTGTATTTGAGTATATTTTGGCCTTGTTTATTATTTTTGGATCTTTGTTTATATTGGATTATTATTGAGTACTAGGGGTTCTGATGATCAAAGTTTTTAAAAGCAAATGCATAACGCGAGGCATTTTTTCTCTTGTGAAACGAGACATAAGCATTTCAAATTTGAAATTTTTATATTTAAAGTAGCAAAAAATATTAAAATTAAATGTGAATGAGTAGATATTTTTTTTCCTCAAGACCTCGAACATTTCATTGTAGACAATAAGGAAACTTACCCTCATTGAAAGTGAAATCGACATTTTTAACTTTAGTTGTCAAGTTTCTCACTTGAACCTTAACTTTATTTTTCTTAATTGATCATTTTCTTGATTTTTTTCTATGAATATAGTTGCAAAAGAAGTTATTGTTTTCTTATGTTTAAACCATCTAATAGATTAAGTTTAACAAGAGCCTATGACAAGCTCTTATTATGTGTAATCCTCATATACTTGCGCATAAAAGGCATACAAGGTGCAATTGAGGTGCAGACCTTCTAAAGTATTTAGGGAGTATCATCTACACATCGAAGCCTCAATGCATTTTGCTCATGATTTTAAAAATGAAGTGCAATTGTTATGTAAAGTTGTTACGCAATTGTGTGGGCAGTCACTGCCACCTGTTACAGCTGCTATGGTGGTGTGATTGAATTTCACGAGTATAACAGCCATTAGTAACAATGGCGACAGGGTCAGCTACATTTAAAAGTCAATTTTTTGCTCATTTTCTTCTTTTTCAATTTCTATGTTTATTTATTGACTCAACATTAAAGATTGAGCTTAATTTTTATATGTAGTTATATGTTATGTTACTTCTATAACTTGATAATTTTAATTTGTTTAATAAAATAACAATGGCACTCAAGTTTATTTGTTGAACATACATAATCTACAAATTTGAAGCACAACATAACATAATATTATAAGTCTATAACTATTAATAATAAAATAAATAACAGTAAAGTGGTGCATTATAAATTTATGACGCATAAAATCATTAAATGTTAACCAAGTGAAGTCTCTCCTAAGGTGAGGTCTTGGATTCTACTCTTGGGAGTGGAACGGGAGACAAAACTTAAAGGGCTTGTAAGGATAGGGTGGGAGTTCAACTCCCCCAAGTGCTAATCTAGCTATTAACCACTTATTTTCGGTTTCAATAAGTTTGTGTCTTCTTTATTGATTGGACATTTGATACGGTGGGTAAATTGGACTCTTTACGGGAACAAACAACTCTTCCACTTGAGCTTCCATGCTTGATGCTGTTTGGATGGAAGACTGAGCATCTTTTCCCCTCTTTAAATGATTTTAATTAAATTCCTTCTGTATTAGGTCAAGCTGGCCACAACTGGAAGGCAGGAAAGAGGATTGTAGTCATCTCAGTAATCTTGACAGGAACACTTATACTTGCCTTGGGCATTTCATTGTACATTTGGAAGAAAAAGTGGCAGCCAAAGAGAGAAGGTAATAAAAAGTCATTGATGCTTCAGCATCTCACGTTTGTAGGTGTGCTTGCTTGAACATTTACCTGTTTTGAACAAGTTGTTTCATTAAAATGTTCTCGACGGCCCCCTTCTGCAGGACGAATAAGACATCATCTTGGAGAAACTTACTACAAAGAAGCCAAGAATGAAGATATAGAATTACCGTTATTTCACTTTTCTACAATCACTAAAGCTACAGAAAACTTTGCAATTAACAATAAGCTTGGAGAGGGCGGATTTGGACCTGTTTACAAGGTAAAAATATAACTACACTTCCAGTTTTCTGAAAACTAACCGATGCCCAACCACATGAACTGTTGATAGTAGATTGCCTAATTCAATGACTGACACTGTTGAAAACTTTCCACCTTTTCAGGCTGTTATATGTTTATGTTATACACAGTGCCTAAAACGACAAAGCTTTATCTGTGGTTTCAAATATATGCTGTACTGATTCCTGTAATATTTTTTATTTTTGCTCATTCCACATAGGCTGCTGACTTGGCTCCACAACCAGCCTCAAGATAAATAAATAAATTGAAGCAGGGGGTTAGTATATTGATATATATGCTACATAAAATTTTGAAACTTATCTAATGATAGTTGATAATATCTGAAGAAAAAAAAAATATGAAAAAAATGAGTGTCATTATTTCCTCTCTTAAGATAAAAAATTAATAAAGAAATGAAAGTTACATACCAATATTTTTAATAAAGAAATGACAATTTGTAGTTGGTATAAGCTATCAAGCTGAATTTAGAAAATTGAATTTCAAAATTACATAACAAGATAATCTGAAGTGAACTTTGAACAACCTCACAAATAGTTTGATTCAATTTACAATGTAGCTGTTCAAGTGTTGGCATTTGGTTTGTTTTGCTTATGGTCACTTTTTTAAAAGGAGAGGTATTTATAGTTGATTTAACATTTTTTAATCTTGTTGGCAGCAAAGTCATTCCTAATCTCATACTTAGTTCCCCTCAAACCTGTTCATTCCTAATCTCATACTTCCCAAATGTTCAACTTCCACAGCTATGTCATCAACAACTCATTTCACAAGGCCTCTAGTGGGATATAATATTGTTATGAACAAGTAGCAACAATAAAGGCATAGAAAGACTTTTTTTTTTTTTTTTTTAAATTCTGTCTCTTGATTCCTTGTTTGGCTAATGTGAATAAGATTCATTTACCATAAGTTAACATCTTGACAGCTCTTGATTCTTTGGCAAATCTGGATATATTTTGATGGTTTAGACTCTTTGAGGAAGAAGGGAGGCATTTCTTTTTTCTTTTTTATTTTTTTGACATTTTTGCCAAAGAATGTCAAAAAGGTGGGAGTTTTTTTTTTTCTGTTCATTTTTTTTTTGGTTTTATTATGCTTTATGATACAAAAAATAATATGAAATTGGGGTTTGCATGTATGAGTTCCAGATACAATATGGACCAATTGGCTGGGCTGTAGGTGTGACTCTTGGATATGCACTGGCTGCACGGAATAAGCGAGTGATTGCTTCCATTGGTGATGGTAGCTTCCAGGTGATTATGCATACATTTCAATCTTCATTGTATATAATATAGTTTTGATTTTTGTAAATTCTCCTAATCTTATGAATACTGTATTGGATATACTTCCTACGTTGATGTTTGTATATCTTCATCTTATGTCACCTAGCATGCACAATATGAAGGATTATAAACTTAAGGGATTGCAGTAATGGGATTCACTGCTTTGAATTTGTCCTTGTTAACACCTATTTTGGTGAATGCTTGGCAGGTGACAACACAAGATGTGTCAACAATGCTGAGATGTGAACAGAGGACCATCATCTTCCTTATAGAACTCGAGAATTTTTGTTTCTTAGTGGATGCTTTCATAGTACTTGCATGTATAATTAGTTTGAATTTTGTGCCGATTTGTTTTGTAATAATTTTTAACTTACCACTAGGCACTAGTTTAACTTTATTTCATCTCGGAATTGAAATATTTTTGCATATTGAGAAACATGAATTGATCTAGTATTATGTTTATCTAAATTTAGTCAATATATTGAAGCATGAATTGATCTGGTATTATGTTTACCTAAATTTAGTCAATATATTGTACATTTTTCATCTTTATAAAAAGGATTTTTTTTGGGGTTAAATCTCACAGAATTAGCACAATTTATTATTATTTTTTTTTAAAAAAAATGAAGTTATAACAGCGTTTTTAAACGCCACTGTAGAATACTAACGGTTATATTTTTAAAATAAAAATGATCTATTACGGCGTTTTTAAAACGTCGCTAAATGTGGAGTGACGTCATTGTATCATTATGAAGCACATTTAGCGGCGTTTTAAAAAACGTCGCCTATACTTATATAGTGACGCTTTTAAAGCGTCATAAAGTTACAGCGACGGCCGCATCTTCGGCGTGTGGTACTAAACGTCACAAAAACAATTAGCGGCGTTTTTGATACCTACGGCGGCGTTTTTTAAACGCCACTAAAAGCTCAATTTCCAGCAGTGATCTCACGTTCGTAGGTGTGCTTGCTTGAACATTTACCTGTTTTGAACAAGTTGTTTCATTAAAATGTTCTCGATGGCCCCCTTCTGCAGGACGAATAAGACATCATCTTGGAGAAACTTACTACAAAGAAGCCAAGAATGAAGATATTGAATTACCGTTATTTCACTTTTCTACAATCACTAAAGCTACAGAAAACTTTGCAATTAACAATAAGCTTGGAGAGGGCGGATTTGGACCTGTTTACAAGGTAAAAATATAACTACACTTCCAGTTTTCTGAAAACTAACCAATGCCCAACCACATGAACTGTTGACAGTAGACTGCCTAATTCAGTGACTGATTCAGTATTTTGCTAGAAACTTTCCATTATGTCACGCAGAATTGATAACTCTGCATTTTAAAATTTTTAAGAAGCACATGTATTTAATAGTTTTATTATCTGAGCAAGCTCCAATGAAGATGTAGAGTGACTTTCAACATAGACTTTATGCTAAGAATGGGGTAGAATCAAACATAAACATTATGCAGAAGAAAAAACACAAAGGAAAAATACAGAAAAATTGATGTGGCTTCTTTCAATGGCACCATATTGTACCTAACAAACAAAAATGATTTTTAATTGTCAGGGTAGGCTAGAAGGGGGACAAGAAATTGCTGTGAAGTTGCTTTCAAAGAATTCAAAACAAGGAGTCGATGAGTTCAAGAATGAAGTCATCTGCATTGGTGGTGTTTGGTGTAGCTGTTAAAACAGATTATAGATTATAGCTTAACAGATTATAGATTATGACTTTAATCAGAAGCGGTTAAAACATAACCAAAAATCTCTTCTGTCATAACCAAAACAACAACCACAATAACGAAACTCCACTTGAGGCATAACCAAAGACCTCTTCGGTTATAATCAAAATATTTACCACAATAGGTCATACTAAGTCATAACCAACACCACATTGAATCATAACCAAGTCATTACCAACAATACAATGGGTCATAACCAAAGATCATAAACTTTCTAACTGGGACATATGATACCCACCTTTTTGGATGTGTGCATTATAGAATTTTTTGAACAAACATTATATTGAAGAAAAAAACACGAAGGAAAAATACAGAAAAATAAATGTGGCTTCTTTCAATGGAAACATATTGCACCTGACAAACAAAATGGTTCTCAATTTTCAGGGTATGCTGGAAGGTGGACTAGAAATAGCTGTTAAGTTGCTTTCGAAGAATTCCCAACAAGGAGTCGATGAGTTCAAGAATGAAGTTATTTGCATTGCCAAGCTTCAGCATCGAAATCTTGTAAAGCTTCTGGGATACTGCGTTCAAGGAGAAGAAAGGTTGTTAATATATGAATACATGCCCAACAAGAACTTGGACTCCTTTATTTTCGGTATGGCTTTCTTAAAACCATTAGCTAGTTTCATTCTATTTCATATTGGAGCAACATTATGACCAATGTCTCATTATAAAAGGTGAATTACGAGGTTCATAGCCAAAAGGGAAGCACTTCTACTTTACAAACCAGTGACATTTTTGTCTTTTATGCCCCCTTCAATGGGAACCTTCCCATTTTATGAATCAAGGATGAAGGTCTTTCTAATCGACCTCTTAGACTTCCTCCAATGCAAAATTATATTTTTATTTATTGCAATCATTTTGCATTTGTACTCGAGAAACCATCTAGCAGCTTGGTTTAACTTGGGCAAAAAATTGGACAGATCAATCACAAAAGATGCTACTGGATTGGCCTACTCGCTTCCACATCATCAATGGAATTTCTCGGGGGCTTCTTTATCTTCATCAAGATTCCAGAGTGAGAATTATCCATAGAGATTTGAAAGGTAGCAATATTTTACTAGACCATGAGATGAATCCAAAAATATCAGACTTTGGCTTAGCCAGAATTTTTGGAGGAAATGAGACAGTTGCAAATACGAAAAGAGTGGTTGGAACATAGTAAGAATCTTCTAACCAGTTCAAAAGTTTTCCTTTTTCAACTATATAAATTTGTTAAATTTTTATTGCTTTCCTTTAGTGGGCCAGAATATGCAATTGAGGGGCTATTCTCAGTAAAGTCCGATATATTTAGCTTTGGTGTTTTGATATTAGAAGTAGTGAGTGGGCAAAGAAACAGGGGATTTTGTCACCCAAGTCACGACCTCAACCTTCTTGGGCATGTAAGTATAAAGTTGAATAATTTTTCTTTTGAAAAGGAAAATAGTGATCTTACTAAAAAGGGTTATATATAGAAAATTTATCTATAATGATGTAGCAATAATATCTCTAAATCCAATTATGAGCCACTTTGAAGGATATTTTATTTTAAAATAAAATGCCTCAATTCAACCGCATGATTCTGTATAAAAATTATGTACAATACTTTTAATGTTACTTTTTGAATAATTCAAACGACAGCTTGAAAGTGTGTTCTACTATTCAGGCCTGGAGATTATACAAGGAAGGCAAGGCTACAGAATTGATTGATGTACAACTACGGAACTCATGCAATCTAACTGAAGTGTTGCGTTCAATTCACGTGGGTTTATTGTGTGTTCAACAACGGCCTGAGGATAGGCCTAGCATGGAAAGTGTGGTTTGGATGTTTGGCAAAGAAGGTGCTCTGACTCATCAGCCTAAACATCCTGGTTTTTTCACTGAAAGAAATCTTCTTGAAACAGAAAGAAGAGGGATTGAACAATGTTCAGCCAATATGGTCACCATAACACAGTTAGAGGCCCGATAGAAGACAATTCTTGTTGATATGTAATTGTTATGATCCAAGCAAGACTTTTGAGTTTGTTTAGCTAATGAACATAAGGTCAAAGCTGTCTTTCTTGGCAACCAGCTTCAGAAATCTTGGCTTATGAACACAATGTTAAGCCCTGTTTTCTATGCTACTACAATCTGACTTACCTATGTCTTTTACTTAGTTTGGTTGCTTTTCCTTGTCTTGTGTTGGCTATTTGTAGACTATGAATGTTGTTTCACATGTGTGTACCTAAATATAAACAATGGGTAATCATATCTATTAATCCCAACAGATATTGTATTTAACACAAGGTTGTGAATACCGTAACGACTTTGGTTTTGGTTTCATTTTTATTAGTGAAAATTGACCAATAGTCCATCATTTAGAAAGTTTTGTCACAGAGGTCCAAGGAATGGTCTTTGTTAGTAATGAGTGATAGAGAAGGAACATCAACAGATCACAATCCAGCAGATCACAATGGAGTTATAGTTTAGTCTATGGTGTACTGTGTCACATGGGATCATACACCATAACAGAGTTAGTTAGAGGTGATTAGTTAGTTAGTTTGTTAAGCATTGTACCTGATATGTATATATATAGTTGTAAGTGAACTGAATGAAATAATCAAGAATGTATAATATCAATAATTCTTCATGGTATCAGAGTTTTGAAGGTCCAACGAGCATATCTCCAATGGCGTCATCTCCAATGATGATTCCATCGTCTTCAACTACGATTCCTTCAAATCTCAATATGCTGATCTCTAATCTGAGTTCTCTTGTGACTGCAAAACTAGATAATACAAACTTCATCATCTGGAGCAGTCAAATGAAGAACATTCTTCGCGCTACCGATCTGCTGAAATTTGTTGATGGCTCGTATTCATGTCCAGCGGGCTGTATCCAAATTCATCTGGTTTAGAGATTTGCAATCCTGAAGCACTTCAATGGAGGATGATTGATGCACATTTGATAAGCTGCATCACAACTGTCTCACTTGTTATTTTCACCATTGTTCTTCATCTTAGAACTAGTTCAGAAATTTGGTTTGCATTAGACAAACGATTTACAACTCTATCAAGATCACATATCCATCAGCTTAAGAAGAATTAAACTCCATCTCGAAAAATTCTGACTCAATGTTCAGAAACATTAAGACTCTTGTTGATCAACTTAGCATTGCTTCTTCGTTTATTGAAGATGAAGACATCGTCCTAATTACTTTGAATGGATTACCTGCGGAATATGATTCATTCAAAACTGCAATTCGAGCAAGATCAGAGAGTATATCCATGGATGATCTTTCGTCCTTACTATGTTCAGAAGAAATTCACATTGAAGGGAAACTAAAGCAGTCCTCTGCTCTTACTGTTGCCTATGCAACAATGAAGGATTCTCAGTCATCAAAAGGTTTCACCTCTTATCACAATAATCGAGGTTCTTCTCGACATGAATCAAGAGGTTCCTACAGAGGATCATACAGATCTGGTCCAGGCCGATCTTCAAATTTCAGAGGCAGATCTTCAACTCGTGGCAGATCAGATTTGGGTTCTGTTTGTAAATCTGTGGTAAACCTAGCCACTCTGCCTCGGATTGTTGGCATCGACTGGATCTTGAATTTCAGTCTCAGTCATCCTTTTCTCCTCAATGTCACCCCCAAACTCATTCCAAAGCTTATGTTGCCTCGATGACTGATGATACTACATCTCAGAACTGTACTCCTTGGTTTCTGGATTCCGCTGCCTCTGAACATGTGACAAATGATCTTCATCGTTTAAACTCCTATCACCCTTACTCTGGTCGTGAACAAGTTACTATTGGCAATGGTGAATCTCTCCCCACTCACAACACTGGGAAAGGTATTTTGCCAACCCCACATCATTCCTTTAAACTTAACAAAGTTCTTCATGTTCCTACTATTTCATCTAATCTTCTTTCCGTACAACAATTAGCCAAAGACAACAATTGTTCTATCATTTTTGACCACTCTTCCTTTGCCATTCAGGACAAAGTTTCTAAGGCTATTCTTCACAAAGGATATCATGCCAATGGTTTATATCATTTTACTTCTTCAAATTCTGCTTTGTCTTTGCCTCCATCTACTACTACTGCATTTTCCACTACTGGTTCATCACATCTGCTGCACTATGGTATAAAAGACTCGGGCATCCCTCTTTTTCCAAGCTCCAAACACTTAAGTCTCCTTTGTCTATTATTTTCAATAAAAATGACTTGAGTTGTATTGATTGCTCAGTTTCCAAATGTCATCGGCTTCCTTTTAAACTTTGTAACTCTAATGTTAATAATCCATTGTCTTTGATTCACAGTGATGTTTGGGGTCCATTTCATGGATCATCTACTGGTTACAAATATTATGTGTTGTTTGTTGATGATTTTAGTAAATTCACATGGATTTATCCCCTTTATAATAAAAGTGAGGTATTTTCCGAATTTATGATTTTTAAGGCCTTTGTTAAGAAATAATTTGGTCTTCCTCTTCAAATTTTATGAACTGATGGTGGAGGTGAATTTGTCAACAATTCCATGTTGAACTTTATGAGTCTCCATGGCATACTTCATCAACACTCTTGTCCTCATACTCCATCTCAAAATGGAGTTGCAGAAAGGAAGCATTTGCACATCACTGAAACAGTTATCTCTCTGATTCATCACTCTTCTTTACCTCTTACCTACTGGTTTGATGCCATAGCTACTGCCATATACCTTACAAATAGACTTCCCAGTGCTTCTCTGTCTAACTGCTCTCCTTTTGAACTTCTTTTTGAAGCCAAACCTGACTACACGCATCTCAAAGTTTTTGGCTGCCTCTGTTTCCCTTGGTTAAAACCGTACTCCTTTCATAAATTAGCTCCCAAATCTACTCCTTGCATTTTTCTTGGCTATCATTCATCAGTTAAAGGGTACCGATGTCACAATTCTAAAACAGGTTCTATTTTGCTTTCTAAACGTGTCAGATTTCAAGAACATGTTTTCCCTTTTGCTGCTTCTTCCACTCAGCCTACTTCCCCTCATTCTTTGTCCATCTTACAAAATTTTTTCTGACATCCTTCCCCAAATTTTTCCTCTGTTGCCTCCCAGTCTACCCACCGGCCTGCTGCTGTTGTTGCTGTTGCTAGCCTTGTTGTCCCGCAGTTTGCTCCTCCTCACCCTACTCAGCCTGCTGCATTTCAGCCTCCTGCTTTGTTAATATATTTTATGTTAGTGTATATTAATGTATGCTTACTTTATGCTTACTTTAGTGCTAGTGCTGTTAGCCTTTCGACTGTATGTAATAATAGTGCTTTGGCCACTCTCAGTCCCTCTCCTATATAAGGAGCCCCTCACCATTTGTAATATACAACATTCAATATATCAATATATACATAATATTCTCTCTGTATTTCTCTCTTTATACATTAATTCTAATATGGTATCAGAGCGGGTTTAGAACCTAGTATTTTCGCTTCACCGGCGGGCAGCAACCTCACCTTAGCCGCCCGCCGGACCTCAACCTATTCCGCTGTCATCTCTATCAATACATATAGCTTCTAGTTCATCCCAGATATGTTTGTTGTTGTAAATCACAGCAGCTCCAAAGCTCCTAGCAGGGTTGATACCAGTACCCGTAATTGGAATGGTCGCCAAATGAACCATAAACACCGCAAACCCGATAGGCAAAGGAGCCAAAACAGGGACATGAGAGTCACGAGCACTTCTCTTGGGATCAGTGGCTGCGAAAACAGTGTAAACAAGGATAAAAGTACCGATGCTCTCAGCACCAAGAGCAGTGCCTTTGTTGTACCCATGAGCAACTGAGTTCGCACCACCACCGAGCGAGTTGTAGGAAGATTTCATGAAGGCCTTGACTAACCCAACTCCACAGATCGCACCCAAACACTGCACTATCAAGTAAGCCAATGCTCTGATCAGCGACACCTTCCTCGCCAAGAACAACCCAAATGTCACCGCCGGGTTTATGTGACCACCAGAGATGCCAGCGGTGCAGTAGGCGATGAACTCGGCGATGATGGCTCTGTAGAAGGACCAGAGCTGGAGCTCCGCCATGTCAATGAGTGGTGCTGGTGGTGGGTCGACGTAGTCTTTGCCATGGTTGGCATGTCCTTCTTCGCTCACTTCCTTCGACATCTTTTTCTTCTTCTTCTTCTTCTTTGTTTCTCTCTCCTCCTTTGTTGTGTGAGACTAATGATGGGGTAGCACAGCAGAGATGCTCCACTTTTTATCTCTTTCTTTCCAAACTCAACACCCTCTCTCTCTACTTTATCACATGGGCTTGTCCCCTCTCTCTCCTCCATTTGATTTCAAAATCAATTATTTTTATTTATTTTCTCCAAACCACTTTTCCTCTCTTTCAAATATCCACTCTATAATAATATCTCTTTCTCAAATAACCCATCCAAAAATATTTTTTTTATCTATTTTTATTTTCTTTTATTTTTATTATTAAACAACACAAAATAACACCAACAACATTCCACAACCTTGTCATTTCTTCATGCTGGGGATCCACCCCGATCACACAAAAAAAAACAAAAACAAAAACAAAAACAAAAAAAACAAAAACAAAAACAAAAAAACAAGACCACACAACCAAAACCCAAACAACCACATCCACAGGCGGCATTTTTCTTCTCTACTGTGCCGCAGGTCTCTTCTTCTTGCCTCCGTCCTGGGCGGCCCTTGCCGGTGTTGCCTCCATGTTTCCCACTCCACTGGGCACGATCACTACTCCCTGCTCCTCCACTGCAGCATATGGCGGCCCTCCAAATCGGAACATCACGGTGGCCTTCCGCTTCAGCTCCTTGTTTTCTGCCCTTAGCACGCTTATCTCTGCTCGCGCATCCTTATACATGCGTTGGAGCAGAGCCAGTTGGGAGTTTAACTGTTGCACCTCATTTGTACACCATGTCCAGTCCCTAATATATGGAAGGAAAGTAAGTAGTAAATGAGCACAATCATAAAATTATATCTCGTATGCATTACAGGGAAATATTTTCCCACTAGGTAGCAAGAGGAACAGAAAGGGAGGCCACATACCATGTCGGTAATCAAGTCCAATCTTCCAAAGAAAAGAACGGGCAAAAGCATCCAATACAAAACCAGGGGTATTTTCAGGAAATACTGCTTGATCAAGAGCTATATGACCCTGTAAATAGACATACCAGAAACTACATAATCAGTCATCCTGCACAATCGAATCGAACATTGCAACAAAGCTTGGTCATTGTCAACCGGAATACACCACACAGTATATAGCAAGAAGGCACATTAAAGGACACCTAAGATAACTGTATATATAGTGGCTGACCTTTACTAGCTGCCAACTGGAGATCACTGCCTGATAGGGACAACTTTCCAGCATCAAAATGCCAATAACAAACCCCAAATGTTTGAATAGGATTGTCGACTTCATTTCATTAAATGACAAGCGTTCATGAATTGTTAAAACCTATCACCTACTTCACCCACTTAAACCTACTCCACTAAACCTAACCCACTACACCACTACCACCTCACCTACTCCACTAAACCTAACCCACTACACCACTACCACCTCACCTACTCCACTAAACCTAACCCACTACACCACTACCACCTCACCTACTCCACTAAACCTAACCCACTACACCACTACCACCTCACCTACTCCACTAAACCTAACCCACTACACCACTACCACCTCACCTACTCCACTAAACCTAACCCACTACACCACTACCACCTCACCTACTCCACTAAACCTAACCCACTACACCACTACCACCTCACCTACTCCACTAAACCTAACCCACTACACCACTACCACCTCACCTACTCCACTAAACCTAACCCACTACACCACTACCACCTCACCTACTCCACTAAACCTAACCCACTACACCACTACCACCTCACCTACTCCACTAAACCTAACCCACTACACCACTACCACCTCACCTACTCCACTAAACCTAACCCACTACACCACTACCACCTCACCTACTCCACTAAACCTAACCCACTACACCACTACCACCTCACCTACTCCACTAAACCTAACCCACTACACCACTACCACCTCACCTACTCCACTAAACCTAACCCACTACACCACTACCACCTCACCTACTCCACTAAACCTAACCCACTACACCACTACCACCTCACCTACTCCACTAAACCTAACCCACTACACCACTACCACCTCACCTACTCCACTAAACCTAACCCACTACACCACTACCACCTCACCTACTCCACTAAACCTAACCCACTACACCACTACCACCTCACCTACTCCACTAAACCTAACCCACTACACCACTACCACCTCACCTACTCCACTAAACCTAACCCACTACACCACTACCACCTCACCTACTCCACTAAACCTAACCCACTACACCACTACCACCTCACCTACTCCACTAAACCTAACCCACTACACCACTACCACCTCACCTACTCCACTAAACCTAACCCACTACACCACTACCACCTCACCTACTCCACTAAACCTAACCCACTACACCACTACCACCTCACCTACTCCACTAAACCTAACCCACTACACCACTACCACCTCACCTACTCCACTAAACCTAACCCACTACACCACTACCACCTCACCTACTCCACTAAACCTAACCCACTACACCACTACCACCTCACCTACTCCACTAAACCTAACCCACTACACCACTACCACCTCACCTACTCCACTAAACCTAACCCACTACACCACTACCACCTCACCTACTCCACTAAACCTAACCCACTACACCACTACCACCTCACCTACTCCACTAAACCTAACCCACTACACCACTACCACCTCACCTACTCCACTAAACCTAACCCACTACACCACTACCACCTCACCTACTCCACTAAACCTAACCCACTACACCACTACCACCTCACCTACTCCACTAAACCTAACCCACTACACCACTACCACCTCACCTACTCCACTAAACCTAACCCACTACACCACTACCACCTCACCTACTCCACTAAACCTAACCCACTACACCACTACCACCTCACCTACTCCACTAAACCTAACCCACTACACCACTACCACCTCACCTACTCCACTAAACCTAACCCACTACACCACTACCACCTCACCTACTCCACTAAACCTAACCCACTACACCACTACCACCTCACCTACTCCACTAAACCTAACCCACTACACCACTACCACCTCACCTACTCCACTAAACCTAACCCACTACACCACTACCACCTCACCTACTCCACTAAACCTAACCCACTACACCACTACCACCTCACCTACTCCACTAAACCTAACCCACTACACCACTACCACCTCACCTACTCCACTAAACCTAACCCACTACACCACTACCACCTCACCTACTCCACTAAACCTAACCCACTACACCACTACCACCTCACCTACTCCACTAAACCTAACCCACTACACCACTACCACCTCACCTACTCCACTAAACCTAACCCACTACACCACTACCACCTCACCTACTCCACTAAACCTAACCCACTACACCACTACCACCTCACCTACTCCACTAAACCTAACCCACTACACCACTACCACCTCACCTACTCCACTAAACCTAACCCACTACACCACTACCACCTCACCTACTCCACTAAACCTAACCCACTACACCACTACCACCTCACCTACTCCACTAAACCTAACCCACTACACCACTACCACCTCACCTACTCCACTAAACCTAACCCACTACACCACTACCACCTCACCTACTCCACTAAACCTAACCCACTACACCACTACCACCTCACCTACTCCACTAAACCTAACCCACTACACCACTACCACCTCACCTACTCCACTAAACCTAACCCACTACACCACTACCACCTCACCTACTCCACTAAACCTAACCCACTACACCACTACCACCTCACCTACTCCACTAAACCTAACCCACTACACCACTACCACCTCACCTACTCCACTAAACCTAACCCACTACACCACTACCACCTCACCTACTCCACTAAACCTAACCCACTACACCACTACCACCTCACCTACTCCACTAAACCTAACCCACTACACCACAGCTATGGCAATTTAAAATAAAATAAAGAGATAAGGGAGAGAGAGACAAACAAATTTATAGTGGTTCGGTTTCAACTCGGCCTACGTCTACTCTTTAAGTTTCACTTGAGATTTTTCACTATCTTCTAGCTTCACAGGAGTGCTAGCAACCTCTTTACAAATAGAGCAATCCTCCACGGATTTTACACAGACTTCACAAGTCTAAACCCTTACAAATCTTAGGTGATTTACAATCACTCTCAAAATTTCAAGAACATAGCGTTTGCAACACTTTTATAAGATGAAATGGTATTTTTGCTTTCAAAGAAAGCTTACAATAAATATCTCTCAAATATAGATATATAAAATGAAGCTTGAATTTTTCTGTAAATCTCACACAAGAAAGATGAGCTTAAAGCTATAAGGCTCAATGTATAATTTCTGATAATAGATGTGAATGATTATAGATCAACGAATATTTTCAGGTTTTTTTGTAACTTGTTTACATTAGATGCTTTGGTATATATAATGAAAATTATAGCCGTTTATAGCCGTTGTATTCATTTAAATTTATAGCCGTTTATAACTGTTGTAGTCATTTGAATTTATAGCCGTTTATAGACGTTGTACTTCCATCATTACCAATTTGAATATCTTCCACTCCATCATTACTAATTTGAATATCTTTCATTTGAACCTTTTGGTCTGCTGTTGTACTAGGCTGTTTGAACCTTTGTTTTGGGCTATTTGAACACCTGATTTAATCAAATATTAAATACATTTTGATAACATTTAGGATAAAGGTTTAGGTGAGAAATAATGGGAGAAAATAAATTTTGATTCTATTTTTCTCTTTCAAATAAATCATCAAAATAAATTTTGATTCTATTTTTCTCTTTCTGATAAATCATCAAAATAAATTTTGATTAAAATATAATTAAATAAATCATCAAAATAAATACGTCTAACAATCTCCCCCTTCTTTATGATGGCACACAATGATGTTTTGATTTGATTTGGGAGTAAGAAAAGCTCCCCCTCAAGTCATGCTCCCTGAATTCATTTCTAAATGCATAGGTTAGCACATGTGTAATAAATAAGCTTTAATTTGAGACATGATATGAGACTAAGATATTAAATTATAAATACATAATCATCATATTAGTTTTCAAATAATTCCATAATTTGAAAATAATACCATAATACATAACATCATATAATTTTCTCCCCCTGTGACATTATCAAAAGGAAATTAGGGCACAGAATTTGGAGGAGAAGGAGGAAAATGATAGTGATAAATAGCATCAAAAAATAGACAATCAAAACAGATATATACATATATATATATATATAGGATTCGCCCACACCTCTCTTTTTTGTCGAAAATTGCGTCGAACTCGCGTCTTCATTTTTGCGTCAGCCGACCGACAAAAGCGACTCTCCTCGATTGCTGCTCGCCTCGGCTATCTCTCCCGCCTTGTCTTCTTCTCTTCAGCCTTCTTCTTAATCACACTCGTTTGCTTCATCTTCTTCACCTCACTCTCGTCTCTCTCTTCTTCTATCACTCTCAGTCTGTTCTCTTCTATTTCTCTATAACTCATTTCTTGTACACCTCTCACCTCTAAACCATGGCTTCCTCATCCCGTCCCCTTACTCTATTTCTAGACCTGAACGATCCCATAAACTCTGCTAGACCGAGTGCCCCTGCTCCTACTCTTCATGTCATTTCTCTTCTTAACCTTCCTATGATGTCGATTGAGCAAATCACGGCAGCTCAATCTGACATAGAAGCCAATCATTTCACACCGACGTCTTGTATGGAGACAGTGACTGCAGTTACAAAATTGACTCATCGACTGTAGAACAGAACGAGTGAGCTCCATCAGGTCAACGCCTAACTCGCTCTGCTCCAGCGCATGTACAAGGATGCACAAGCAAAAATAGGCGCACTGAAGGCCAAAAATAAAGAGCTTAAACGGAAGACCACCTCCATGGCCCGATTTGGAGCAACGTCGTTCTTGGCCTTTGATAGTTAGCGAGGAGTCTTGACGACAGCACGGGGGCAGGGGCGTCAAGGGTCGCCCATGGTGATAAAAAGAAGAAGAAAACGATGGAAGAGGCGAGTAAGTAAGATCGGAGTATGGCCGGAAAAAAAAAATGAAGGGTGTTGTTTTTTTTATGTTTATTTTGATCGGCGTGCGGTCGTAAAAAAATAAAGGGGTTTTTTTTTTATGTAAATATTTGTATTTTGATTTGTTTTTATTTTTATGTTTAAGTATTGAAAAATGAAATTAAAAAGCAAAAAAAATAAAAAAAAATTAAGCCCAAACAAAAAACAATAATGAAAAAAAATAAAACTAAAAGAAATTAAGCCTAATAGCAAAATAATAAAATAAATAAAATAATACCAGCATAAATTAAACTTAATGGGACGTTGGTGTTGCCGGAATGGTAATATAAAAAAAATACCATGAGGGTTTAAAAAAATCAATGTATGCAAAGTTAATTTTATCTC